TTAAAGCACCACCGGCGGAGATTCGAGTGATTTTCAGGATAGGGGGATGGACAGCCCACTCGCTGGCCAGGTGCTGGCTGGTCCCCTCAAACTCTCCAGCCTTCCCCTTGCGGTGGCTGGAGGGGCATGGGAGGGTTCCTGGGAGGGCCTTGAAATGTGGCCCCTGGGTTTGCTGGTCGTGAGTCGTGAGGCCTGACTCACCACTGAAGCAGCCTGCAGGAGGGTGCTGGCTGAAGCCCCCACTGAGGATTGGGAGAGGAGAGAGGGCAGAGGGAGGCGTACCTGTGAGGCCCCAGTTTGGAAAGGACCACAGCCAAGAGGGCTGGCGGCTTGGGGGTAGGGAACCCAGTAGCAAAGTGCCGAGAGGAAGAGCCGAGGGGCCTCCTAAGAGCGCATCTCCAAGTGCCTCTTCCCCGACGGGGACTGGGGTCCTTGTGCGGCCTTGACCTGCGTCTGAGGGAGTGTGGGCAGTGATGGCGGGGTGGGAGCGGCGGGGAGGTTCACCTAACCAACCCACAGAAGGCGCCAGAGCAATTCTCCAATATATGTGCATCCGCAGTGAGAGGGAACATGACACAGTGCGGAGCCCTTTCCCTGCCCCGGCTCTGGCCCTCGGGGACCTGGAAGCAGCAGAGAGAGCAGGGGAGGGACAGGAAGAAGGAGCAGGTCTGACCCGAGCCGCGGTGGGGCTGGGAGAGAATGCAGAAGCTTCTGTTGGATGAGGGAGTGAAGTTTTGATTTGGATTATACTGGATTTTCTGGGGCTTGAAGGGGACCAGGGCATTCTAAAATCTGCCCAAGATGACACTAAGGCCTCGGGGGGGGGGGGGGCGGAGAGCTGAGGGCGACTGCAGTGGGGAAACACAAAGCTCTTTCCTGATTTCACTCCAACCTGTTCAATAACCCATTACACTAGGAAGTGTGGGCAGGCGCCGAATGCTAAGAACAACACCGCGTTTCCCTGATCCTAAGACACGCTTTTTTTTTAACATTAAAATACTTCTGAAATCCAATCCCTTGGAAATCCCAGCGCACATCTATTTTTGTTCCCTAAAAAAGCTTTTTGAACTGATGCTGCTTTCAAATATATCGCTTTTTAGGATTGAGAACATTTTGTAATGATAGAGCTGTCTAGAGGTCTTATGGGTTTTTCAGTGCTCTCATTGCGTGATTGCTTTCAAGTCCAATGCTACTCTCTGACCTTCTGGCCCTAGGCAGCTGTGCTGTCCAGCCTGGGTGAGGGTGTCAGGAAAAGGACAGGACAGGAGTGAACAGTGGTTGGCCTGAAAGTGTAGGCAGAAAGCACAGGGAACTCCCAGCCATGTCCCTGGCAAAAGGTGTCCAGGGAACCGCAGGACAACCCAAGGTTTCCAGTCCAAGGGGTGAGGTAGGGATCAAAATCAGAAGCAAAGATTTGGCTGCATGAGATTGTGAGAGTGAGTGAGTCTGGAGAAATTTTTAAAGAAAGGAACCTTTAAAATTTTTTAAATGGGTATCTGTTCATCTGTGGATGGGCACTTAGGTTATTTCCATGTCTTGGCTATTGTAAATAGTGCTGCTATGAACATGGGGGTGCAGATATCTCTTCAGGGTAGTGATTTTGTTTCCTTTGGATAAATACCCAGGAATGGAATTGCTGGATCGTATGGTAGCTCTATTTTTAGTTTTTTGAGGAACCACCATACTGTTCTGCATAGCGGCTGTATCAGTTTACATTCCCACCAGCAGTGCAGGAGGGTTCCCTTTCCTCCACAGCCTCTCCAGCACTTGTTATCCGTGTGAGGTGACTGATGTTAACTAAACGTATTGTGGTAGTCATGTTGCAATATATACATACATCAAATCATTACACTTTACACTTTGGACTAACACAATGTTATATATCAACTGTATCTCAGTAAAACTGGGAAAAAATAAGCTGTGGCAATAAAATTTTTTAAAAGGGTAATAAGTGCCTTTGATTGACTTCATGGACAGAAAGAGAACTTAAGAAGACAGATGGTATAGACAGTCACTGCTACATAAGATTAGCCTAAGGAAGAATGAAACTGAACACCATAAAGTAGGGTTGAGCAACTTGTCCAAAGTGACAGCAACTAATAAACAACAGAACTAATTACCTCCAATTTTTCTTCAATTTTATCCCTTAATACGAAAAGTCTTCAAAATGAAAAAAGTAAAACAAAGATACATTGAAGGAAAATAAAGCTTAGAATGGTAAAGAAATAGTAAGAAAACACTTAGCTCTAGATCGGAAATACTGAGCTCCCACACAAACACTCTTCGCATGGGGGTCAGTGAGAGACATGGCTGTGGTGTGATAGCATGACTTCCTGCTGAGACTGGACAAGGTTTAAGGATCCTGCCAGCACGGTGCCTCCCTTGGGCAATCACCCCCAAGTGAACCTGTCTGCCCCCGTGAAGCTGCCTCTTCTACGTCAGTTTCCCCCTCCCTAGTCCAGACAAGGTCTCACAGAGTCTGGAAAGATCCCAGAACACTAGTCATAATCTTTGAGACGTTCTTTGGGGAACAGGATATTCCAAATTTCAAAAAGATGAATTTCAAACAGGGGAGCAGGAGGCCTGTTATTTCTTGACACAGTCTGACAATTGAATATTAAGCGAAAGAAGTGAAGCTTCTTAGAAAATGAGCTAAGCGTTCACAAAAGAAGTCGTTCAATACTAACCTCATTATCTTTCACGGCATTCATATCCTAGCACGTAAGGGGAATCATAGATAGGGTAAAGCATTTGCTAAAGTTCCTTAAAAACAGATGGAAGTATAATAATTGGATGAAATATGGTTTGGCAAATTCATACGTGATTAAAAACCTGAATCGATAGAGAATAAGCAGCTCTGTGAGTGGATATTAATAAATCATTGCTGAATGAAGAGGAGCATTTATATATTATTTATTAAGGATTGATTTATTTTGTTGCTTTTAATGCCGTCAAAATTCTTATTAATGATTTGGAGCAATAGAAAAAAATCTATTGGTAGAATGATCTAACATTTCAGACAAGACTGTGGTTATTTGGGTAAATAACATATGGCTGATCTTTATTTGTGGGTCAGGATAATTTAAACCCCTTGTTTATGGAAAACAATGTCTCGTAGAGCATTTTAATTTATACCTGAAATACTTTTCAGGCGATGGGAGCAGGGACTTCCGTGTTGGGGCTGCCACCTTAAACTACCCCAGGTCCTTTGGTGATAAATGATGGATACTGCTTCACAGTCATAAAATCTTTACGAATTTTAGAGTACCATCTAATCAATCTTGGTGTCACTTTTGGTTGTTTCTTCTAGCCAAACATTCTGAGTTCTCTCAGGGCATAATAAATCATGGCATTTAGACTTTCAGCCCCCATGCCCTCTATTCTCTGAACATGGTCTGTTTATCCATGTCCCTCTTAAGATGTGACAACTAATTACCAACTCCGGGTAAGGTTGAATCACCTAAGAGCACAGTGTAGTGATGTCCAGCCTTGATCTAGAAACCATTCTTTTACGGAAACAGTCTAACATCATGTCAGCTCTTTAGTACGTGCTTCACACCTTTGGCTCTTACTAAGCTGTAAACTAAAGCTCTCACGTCTGTTTCATTTGACCTGCTGTTGAAACAAGTATCCTCCCTCTTGTCCCTGTTGATATTTTGGAGACTGAATACATGGCTGTACCTTCGCTCCTGTTATATTTTAACTTATTAATTTCAGAGTAATCCATCAGTTAGCAGTATTCAAACATTTAAATGTATCATCGGTGTATTCATTTAGCACAAATCATCTTGCATTCATTCAACAAAAACTCGAGTACCTCTGAGACCCTGGGCATGGAATAAGCAACAAATATTTAAGTTCTGAGTTCCAAATATGTTATGACCTACCATAGAACCAATATCTTTTAGAAGAAATAATCAAGGAATTCTAGATAGCAGGAAGACATTCCATACTTCCAGGAGATTTCTCTCCAAGCATCATTTTGTCAGGGGAACACTGTCTTGAAACAGATCACCTAGCTTCCGCTGGTACTCCGTTCCCCAGCTCCCCGCCTTGCTTACTGCAGATAAAGATTAGATTCATGTTTTCTTAATAATTTATCTGTGGGGAGGAAGGTGATCTCCGTGTCTTACTCTTCCGCCATCTTCCCCCTCTCTTCATATTTTCTTAATAGTTTAAACAAGCTTTTCAGTTCTCTCTATCCCCAGAAAGTAGATCTACACATGGCTCCAATCATATCAGATTCCCTGGATGTACATGTCAGCTCTCATCCCTTTGATGCTGGTGGCTTGAACTTCTGGCCCTCCCATTAATTCATGACTTGAATTCGTACATGGGAACCATCGGGCATTACTTGGAGGGCATGATTGCAAGAGCAAATCACTTTGAGTGAGGAGAAATGGTTTTTCCTCAAAGTAGCTGTGTGATAGAAAGCAAATCTCACTGCCTCTCTGAGCCTTGGCTTCTTTCTTTGCCAATGCAGGGGCTAGACTTACAGCTCAGTGTTACGACCACAGGATTAGGAGCGTAACCGTGACTCTTTCTTGTGCATCAGGGATGTTAAAGTGCTCTGGTTTGGGATGCTTGGGAAGGGGGCTTGAGACCCTCCTTAGGACAATGGTAATACTTTGAGTTTGCAGATAAGGACAAAAGAGAAAGTTTGGCTTTAGCCAGAAGTGCTCTACTGGCTAAAATGAAGCTCCCAAGTTTACAAGGACCTTGACCACAAGGATGGCTTGTGTACTCAGCTTTGAAAATTCATTTGCAAAACTGTGGCCCCTTTCAGAGAGGTTTTTTCTTGAAGGAGATGAGATGAGGGGGAAAGAGAGATACTTTACCTGTGTGTGTGTGTGTGTGTGTGTGTGTGTGTGTGTGTGATACACACAGAGAAAAATAAGTACAGTTGAACAAACAGTTGTAAAGAGAAAGCCATGTAAGCACTGGGAGGTCCTGTTGAAGTTGTTCAAAATGCAGAAAGTTTAACACCAAAGAGAACTCACTGATTCTCGGATGTCAGCTCATGAGAGCTGAGGGCCCAGGGCCTTGGGTCAGCTGCTTTTTCTCTCTCCCAGGCCTGGAAAGGGTAAATGGTCGCCTGCATGCTGGCTGCTCCTGCTTTCCCCTGGCTCCAAAGAAGCAAGATGGAGAATCCTCTGGAAGGAACAAGAGAACAAGAGCCTTACTGAGGTCGTTGCAGACTTCAGCTAGACCCCATCCCTGCCATCTGTCCGGCTGGAAAGACCAGCCTCAAAACGCGAAACAGGGACGCAGGTCTTTCAGGCTCTCCCATCCCCCTCTCTGCGTCCCCTCCAGGGGCCCCATCAGACACCTGGTCATCTTCCTAACGTCAAGGACAGGAATCCAGATTGCCATCTTCACCCCAATCACACCCCAATCCCAAGAAAACGTAATGGAGACTTGGCTGACCAGGGTTTACAGCGTAACTGCTGGAGGACAGCCTGCCAGGTCCGCAGGAAAGGAGCCCTGACGCTGGAGCGACAGGAAGAAGAATATTCCCAGCTGCCCCCTCCCTCGGTCCCACTCCAGGAACGACCGCGAGGTCGCTCTGGAGCACTGACCTTCCAGCCTGGCTCCCGTGCAGTAACCTGCCCTTCACCCTCCTCCAAGCCCGTTCTAGCTCAGAGGCCCCCGGATTCTGTTCCGGACATGGAAACACACCTGTAACCAGAACGTTTATCCAGCAAAAACACGAGTTTGCTGCCACTCATCACACAGAGACTGCCATCAGTTCGTAGATAAATTTTGGTGAGCACGGAGTTCACAGCAAGACACCCCTATGTCAGCACCAACCCTTAGCCACTGTCTTCTTCTCTACCAATGACAATTTAATGCCACACCTTCTAACTATTAGAAGATTTAGCATGCTCTAAGGGTTCTGAATTAATTTCTAGAAACATAAAATACCATCAAAAAAGCAAAGGGTAACTTTCCTGCCCAGCCCATCTTAGCCAGCATTTCTCTCCAAAAGCTAAGATGAATTTGAGGCAGCGGCAGATGGTGTGGGGTGTGAGGTCACATTCTCTGTTCTCTTGTCCCCTTTACCTAGTGATTGCTGTCCTAAGATGCCAGCAGGCTTCTCCCGGCTCTCCACTGCCCCTGGTGATTTGAGAGCCTTCAGGTTCCAAGCACACCAGGCTTTGAAGGGCATGCCCTCTGGAGCTAGTAGACCGTCTGACTTCCAATCCAGCTGTGTTCAACCCTCTCTTGCGCCTCAGTTCTCTGATTTGTAAAACAGAAATATAACACGATATCCCTCATGGAATTAAATATAAACACCGTTGTTCCTGACATGCCCTGATGGGGCATCGCTCCTCTGAACAGCTCCAGTTAGGGCCTCGGGCACCTTCCCAGTGGACAACAGTCACGCCTCATCTGGTCTGACTTACCCACAGCACTTGACGTGGTTGATGGTTCCCTCTTTCTCGAGCACCTCCTGGCTTGGTTTCCAGAATAACCGTTGATTCTGGTTTTCCTTCCATCTCACTGGTTACATCTTCATCTCCCGCCTGGATCCTGCCTCCTTTTCTAGACCTTGGCGTGCCCTACAGCTCTGTGCTGGGACTTTTCTTCTAACCTCATACACGCTCAGTTCATGTGTCTGGTCTGGGATTTTTCAACACCATCTCCGCCCGCTTTTATATTCTTAGTCTGGACGCCTCCCTGGAATGGCAGACCAGCACCGAAATGCCCGCCTCGAGTTCTTTACTGAGATCGTCATGAGAATCTCAAACTTAATAATATCCCGAACTGAACTCTTCCCATTCCAGCTCTCCCTCTAAACAGCTCCTCCAGCACTTTCACTGTCTCAGGAAATGTCAACTCTACCCTTGAAGTTGCTCAGGACAAAATCCTCGGGATCATCTCCGACTCTCCTCTTCTCTCACGTACCACATCCAGTCCACCAGCAAATCCCATGGGCTCTACCTTCAGAGATAACTGGCGACTGACCACTTCTCACCACCTCCAGTGTAACTGCCACAGCCCAAGCCACCGGCCCCTCCAGCCTGGACTCGGCACTAGCCATATAATTGTCCCCCTGATTTTCACCCTGATGCCCTAGTCTATTTTCAGCACAGCAGCTGGAGGATGCTTTTAAAACAAGGCATTCCCGTGGTCAAAGCACTCTACTGTGTTCCCCGTCCAACAGAGTCTGTGAGGTCCTGCTTAGTTTCCCTCCCAGCTCCATCTGACCTTGTTCACCCCTCTCCCCCTCGTTCCCGTCACCCCTTCCTCCCTTCATTTTTCTCAGGTAGGCCAAGCACGCTCCCGCCTCAGGGTCTCTGTACTGGTGTTTCCTGTGACTTGATTTTGCCATGTTCACTCGCTCTCTGCTCAAATGTCACCTCATCAATGAGACCTAAACATAGCAACATCTACCTGGCACTCTGCCCGTTTGCCTCAGCTGGTTTCTCTCTGCAGGACTTAAAATCACCTGACACACTGCATGTTTTTTTGTTTATTTGCGCATCGCCTGGCAACCCTCAATAAAGTATCATCTCTGTAAAGGCAGAAGCTCTGTTTAGCTCACCACTATAGAACCTAGATCAGTGCCTGACACACAGGAGGCTCTCGGGAAATACTTGTTGAATGAATGGATGAATGAATGAATAAATGAATGAAAAGCCTTTATAACAATACTTGACACATAAGAGGTCAAGCACTGGATGAACAAATGAATAAACAGCATTTAGAAGTGACTGGCACATAGGATGCACTCAGTAAGTACTTGTTGAATAAATGAATGAATTAAAGCATTTAGAGCAGTAGCAACACGTAGTAAGCCTTTGGTAAGTTTTCTTTTTTTCTTCTTTTTAACTTATTTATTTATTTCTGGCTGTGTTGGGTCTTCATTGCTGTGCACGGACTTCCTCTAGTCACGGCAATTGGGAGCTACTCTTGGTTGCGGTGTGCGGGCTTCTCACTGCGGTGGCTTCTCTTGCTGTGGAGCACGGGCTCTAGGCACGTGGGCTTCAGTAGTTGTGGCTCGCGGGCTCTAGAGCGCAGGCTCAGTAGTTGTGATGCACGGACTTAGTTGCTCCGCGGCATGTGGGAGCTTCCTGGACCAGGGCTCAAACCTGCGTCCCCTGCATTGGCAGGCGGATTCTTAACCACAGCGCCACCAGGGAAGCCCCTTTGGTAAGTTTTAGTGTTTATTATTTAAATGTCAAAACTCCAACATCAAGGGGTGCTCCTTCTGCTTGCACTCCCAAGGGACAAAGATGCTCCTCACTTGGCACTGCGAGTAGGGAGGAAAGGAGAATAAATAGGAGTGGGAGGCCCATCCCTGAGAACCCCTATCTCAGGGGTCCCCAGGATAAGGACCAGTAATTCTAGGACCCGGTGTGGGCTTGCTTTTCCTTTCTTGTATGTCCAAAGAGGCTTCCATGATTCTTATCTATCCTCATGGTGGATCTCTGAATATTGGGGAGTTAACCATCTGCTATTCCCAGATGCAGCATTTCCTTATTATCAGATTAAGCAACACAGAGGAAAGGAGGTAACTCTTACGATGCTAAAACTTTTTTTTGCCCTTGACCTTAGTGAGTGAGATGCCACCATTCAAGGGGTTAACTTTTAAACCCTGAAATTGTATAACTGAGATACTTGAATTCATAAAAAGTGTTAGGACCGCTCCAAGAATTTATCAGCTGTTTGCTATTTAGTGTGAATTAGTTCCCTCAGCGTTTTCACTCCAAACTCCTTATTGATACTAGTCTGAACTCAAGAATGGGAGTTTTGCTTGGGATGGAAGAAAGATTGAGGGAGAGGAATTTCACAGCCACGCCACCAGGAGAAAGGACAGTGGTGAAGGCACTTTTTGCAAATATATGGGCCTCAGAATGATAGAGTGAAGCATATAGGAAGGCAGAAGTCTGGGGATAAGGGTGGGATCAGATGAAAATTTCTTCCAAATGAGAACCAGGCAGCTTCCATACTGACTGTGCTCATTGTGTGAGGCCGGGAAAACCACTTCTCATGACCCTTTTCCAGGGCCAACGGTTTGATGCTAATTCAGTTGGGCAGCTGCAACCCAAGGGAAACCTCTATGTAAACGTTCCTCTAAACTTATTTTTTCTTTTCACTCCTTTGAAGGGTCTCAGTTTACAAGGCTATGTCAGTACTCAAGCAATCTGGCCAAAGCATCTACGTACGGGGCTCTGTGGCCTGGGACTGGTGTTGATTCGGTAAATGTACAGGTCTGGCCGCCATTTGTCCTCCTCCTTCCTCCTTGCGTGGAAACTGTATTCGTTTTGTAGGTTTGACTGTTAGCTCTGCAAACGTAGCACTACCACCTCCTTGCCTGGACTTTGCAGCCATTTGCTACCGTCCTCAAAGATCAGGGGAGAGGTCTTTCCCCCAGAGATGCACGAATCAAATTATACACAGGAACCAAGTTTCAAGAAAACTCACCACGGAAAACCTGAAAGTTGATCAATTAGGGGCTTGCTTCTAACGTTTATTTATAGTTTCTCAATTACTTGATGGGTAGTCTGGAAGACCAAAGAACCTTGAGGCAAAAACGACAGATTACCAGGGCTGCTCAGAGAGCTGTGAGGCACATCTGGAATTTTAGAAAACTAAGTCATCAACAAAAACCATTACCAGCCCTTCAATGTCCTCTAATATGTTCCATCCAGGCAGTCCTCTGCCCCACCCTTCAGCCACCCCTGCTATGGTGATGAGCCCTCCCACCACTGAAGCAACCAGTCCATCTCTGGTTAACTTTACCTGTCAGAAAATTCTTTGTCACTGATAATAACAGGCAGCTCAAATTAAAAATACATTCAAATTTCCAAAATTAAATCTGATTGTTTTTCATGACAGTGGGGATAGCCGTAACTACTCCTAGTTTAGCTCTTGCGAATCGGTGGTAGTCAAAACTCAAAGTCCCAGTGTCGGTGAGAGTGGTCCCCAGCCCAGCATTACAGGCTGTGAGCCTTTAAAACAGGAAGGGCAATTAGACTAGTTAGTGATGCTATTATTAACAGATACTGATGATGCACTGCTTACCATGAGATGGGCATTACCACAGCCCAGGGAAGAGGGTGGCATTACCTGCATTTTTCAGATGAGAAAACAGAGAGGTTAAGTTGATGCTGCCAGTCAGTAGCAGAGCTGGGAGTTGAACCCTGGGGAGTTTAATATCCAAGCTCATGCTCTACCCACGATTTACCCTCTGAGGGTGGTCCTTAGCTACTCTTCATGGACCCTGCAGGGCTGTGCTGGATGGCAGCAGTCAGAGAGGAGCTCTCAGCCGACCACAGAGTGGCTCACACAAGGTCAGCTAAAGGTCATTTCCCTTCTGATTTCTCCTCAGCCTAGTGGAAATATGACCCCAACTGTCAATGCCTAAAAGAGATTCCCAGAAAGCACTAATATCCAGTGACGTTTCTGGATGCCCTTAACACCTGTGATGCATATCTTTATCTTTTATAGAACATTAAGTTATATAACAACAGAATGAGAGAATTTCAGAGTTGTCGGAAATTTGCAGATCATCTAGTCAAGGTTTCCTCCTGATATACCTGTTGGGAATAATCTTGCCAAGAGGGAACTGAAGAGATGAAAAAAAGTAAATAAATGTGGGTAGCAAAGTTAGAATAGTTGCTTCTGCTATGCACCCCTTTGGGGAAGGCAAGAGTATCTGAGACCCAGTCCTGGCCTCTGAAGGGTTTGGAGATGAATAGGAATCAAGTTAGAGGGTCAAACTGAGCCCTGACAGTCTCTGCCTCTAAGTTCTCATGGACCAGCTCCTTCTGCACAGCTCTGTATGTTGAGGCAGAGGACAGAGAGATATCCCTGGACATGCAGAAAGCTCCCTGCTAGCTACATGGGACTAAGAAGAAAACTGACCTTTTCCACACTTTTCCTAGAAGCCATAGGGACAAGAAGGGTGGAGTCCATGGGTGTCCCTCCTGTACGAGGCTGACACCATGCTTTCAGGAACCCAAACCGTTGGGGTGTTCTTCCACGCAGTGAGCTGCTGTATGCCTCCCCGTAAGTTATCATCTCTAAGCCCCAGTTTTCTTATCTCCGAAAAAGAATAAGAAAGGTACCTACCTCCTAGGAGTCCCATAAGGGTTCAATGAGATATCTTAGTAAAATGCTTGGAAAAGGCTCTGGCACATAGAAAGCTCTTGACTAATAACGCCAATTAGCATTATTATCACTCTACCCACTGGTGAAAGTTAGAGACAAATAGGGACACACTCCTAGAA